AAAGTGTCGAGAGTAATAGTTTCAAATTGCTAGCTGGAGCCTTAAGCTGCATTAAGACGGCAGGTTCTAATAACCCAAGCGGCCCGTATCTAGAAACATGTACAGCTAACATTAGTGACTAGTTGTAATGAAATGCTATTTAATCATGCTATCAGCAGCCCCCTTGTTAACAAAGCCCTAATTCTCCAAACTTTTTTAGCTGCCCCAGACACTATTCAAAAGAGCTAATGATTGTTATTAATCAAAAGCAGCCTCCATTTCATTACTCACGAGCGTGGTACCTGCCCGCTGCAAATGACGGCGACCTTGCGGCCAGTTTCGCTGCCTGCTCCAGCCCCCGCGAGTCGTCACGGGCCTCAGCTGCGAACGTGTAGCTCGTTCGCGCGCGTGCCTGCATAGCCACAGACAGCTGCCCAAGATGGGCGCTCCGCCGGACACCCTAAAAGCAAACGATGCCTTAGCCATATGAGGTCTCTGTATCCAGCCTGAAACATTTGAAAAATAAGAGATATGCCCCCACAGCTCCTGAAGCTATCTCACCTTGCCATCTCCACACTTTTGTCTTTGCCTCTCAGCCGGTGAGCGCGCGACCACGGCTCGTAGGACAGTGACGAAGTCAGGTGTCCCTCAGCCACTGTGTAGCAACAGACCAGAAAGTGTTGGATAGGCTCGTCCTGGGAGTGCTCGTACGGTTGGCCGTACAGTGAATACGCGCTGATAGGACAACCACCAAATGGTAGCATTGCTCGTAGCAAAATGGCAATCTATCACTGGATTTAGTAAGAGGGAAAGACAAGCATTTTGCGATGTTAAGTCAAACCTATAGTTCACATTCATATGATTTCCAAAAATGGTGCCTTAAGCTGCATTAAAGAACCTGTCATATTGATAGATGGACACGCAAGAATTATCCGACGCGTAGGCCCGGCGTTGGCCACATGGCCGGGGAATCCTTGGCTTTGGTACCAAGAGGAGATGGCGTGTCAGTTCTGGGCTGTCCGTCTGAGCTCTGCTCACAGTCAAACTGAGATGGTACGTTTATTAGGGTAGAACATACAAAAACTGCTCTGCACCAATCAAAGCGAATTTCAACCTCAGACTTAAATAAAAGCCATAAGCTAAAAATGAGAGATACACCAGTCGCAGAGAAGTTTCGTATTTGAACTTTGTATTTGAATTTCGGATTTGAAACTTACAATAGATTTTGAAATTCTCTTATTAGCAAACATTAGCCATTTCGTAGATATGTATACTGCATCGGAAATGATAGCGTCATATAATAGAGAAAGGAGGGCGCAGCTCAAAAAAAACGGCGTGACTCTTTGTAATTCGTGAGAAAGTAGCTTGCAATGTTTTGATCTAAAAATACAATTGCAGAACATAGCCATCTGTACTTGAAGTGTGTAGTTCCCGGGCACCAGGGAGTTGCAGGGTGGAGGACGGGTGTGTCGGCAATGGGCCTTCTCCTCCCTCAGCGCCCTTTAACCTGCTTCCAGCTTGCCACGGCCCGCACCACCTTGTCATTCATCCGCGCTGCTCTCTGAGAGGATGAGGGAGGACATAGAGGAGAAGAAGGGCCCAGAATGGGACAGGCTTAAGGATTTTACAATATACAGTGGATTTTAGATGCAAGGTCTCTTCTCCCTGCTGCGTCATGGGACATCGAACGGCTGCCGCGTCGTATAACCGTAGAGCCTGGTTGGCAAGGGAGATCTCCTGCGACCCACTTTGGGGGAAACTACCGGCGCAACAGGCGCCACTTGTTTACCCGTGGCTCTGTCAAGTGTGAAAGAAAGAAATGCAACACGTTTTAAGTGGAGCTGCGTGCGCGTCAGTCATGCCCGATTTCTGAAACAGCCTGCTGCCAGCAGGAGGAGACACAGCATGCTTACTGCCCTGAGCGCATAACTAGCATTCAGCAATGTGGACGTATTACGGCCCCGCTTCTACCACTACAGCATCGAAAAATGCTTTCACCTTCGGCCCCATTCACTTGAAATGGGGTGACGTAGAAGATTTTTAATCTTCGGCGACCTGCATTGTGGGGAGCATGGGCATGGCTTGCGCAAGCATCACGAGCATCTATCGGCATCAGAAAAGTTTGAACAATGTTTCAAACTTTTTGATGGGCTCGATGCTTGGCATCAGACCAATCCAAATTCCCCGTTTATGCAAATCCCCCGCCAGTGCAAGCGCAGCCAATCAAACCGCGTGCAAGCTGGGAGAGCCAGACCGCAGTTCATTTCCTCATATTCCAAACGAGATATTACATAGCAAATCACCCGGTTCTTTACGACCAGAACTATTTACCGGGATACAAACCGGAGGAACCAGGCATGGAGGGAGGTGGCAGAGACAGTGGGTGAAACTGGTAGGTTTTTCGCCTGTTTGGAGAGTTTATATCCAGTTTACTTCGTTTTAACATTGCTATTGCTTTGTATGTCGGGGGCGGGAGATTCATGTGATTGGTTGTTGGTCGCAAAAAATCACCAAGCTTCAGACACGCCCAGCTTCAAGATTTTTTGATGCCTGTAGTGTAGACGGGCCGTTAGACAAAGATATCAAGCTGCATACATTACAGAAAGGACAGTACAGATGACTACACACAGGGAGTCAGTGAAATTAGATAACAATTACACTTAAATGGTTGTCTCTTAAAAGTTTTCTTTAATAGCTTTTAAGTAACACTTTCAAATATAAGAAGAAACTGACATAATCAATATAAAAGACTAATTACACAGAGCAATAACAACAACAAAATCTTGATAATTTCTGATGCTGTAGGTTGCCCTGTTGTAACAAAAATATCCCCTTAACTGTTTTTCATTGAATGTTACTCCTGTGTATTTGCATTTCCATGTTAGACATCAATTATTGGGAATATTTAGGCTCATTAATCACATATTTGTCTCAATCTGTACAGAATTAAATATACCGTAGATAGATTGTACATACTGATATAGAAAGAATATAAGGGACATAATGGTGGGACATTGAGCAACATCAATATGCCCAAAAACAGACAACCATCATACTATTGCCATGTGTGTACCAGCATCAGCCTTAAACACTAACATGTGTGCGCTACTGTATATAGCATTTACATCAAATCATGTTGAGTTTTTATTTATTTATGCAGCTACCTTGGTTTATATTGAAAGGTGGCACATAACTCTATCCTACTAAGATGACAAAATATGACGATTTTTCGAGCTCACCTGGTTTGACTGTGACATTGACGTAACCTTCGCCATGAGCCCCCTCCTCGTCCACCATCACCTCGAACTCATACAGACCCACAGTGAGCTGAGAGAAAGAGAAAGAGTCAAGCATACAGAAAGAGGAACTGATCTTTGATTGTTCTTCTGTGTCCTCCACACACCACTGATTCTTCTGTTTACACATTCAACAGAGTCCCAGCTGCATTTGTTATTTTTAGCAGTACATGATTTTGAAGTCTGTGATCTTTACCTTGCTGAGCTTGAGAGTCTTGCTGTGCTTCCCTTCCATCTCCCCGCTGTAATCTCTGGGATGAGTGATCAGGCGCCAATCAAATGCATAGGTTGTCTCTGCGAAGAAAGGGCAACATTTAACAAAACTGCTGATGCATTTAATTACAAATCTATCAGATAAGGATCATTTCCATACGGCAGATGTTATCTGTTCAGAAAAGATCAAGGGAATAACAAAATGAGGACGTGCATCGTTCTTCGTGACTGCATCATCTTTTTTTCCAGTCTGGAAGAAATGATCTTGCAGGTGTTTAGTGCGACGTATAGTTTGCTGACGGAGATTCAGGAATACAACCGTCAAGCAGGTTGTGATTCATTCCTGCATTACTGAACACCAAAAATACCAAAACATGATGAATGACATTCAGTTTGCAATAAATCAAATTAATTTAACAGACATTTTCAGACAGAAACAGTCTCCTTTATACTAACACTAAAAAAAGCATTAAACGGGCCCTATTCTGCTCTTTTTCAGGTTTACATGTATATGTTATGTCTCTACTGTGACATGTCTCCATGCTTCAATGTTCAAAAAGGTCTTTATTTTTCTCATACTGCCTGCACTGCAGCACCTCTTTTCACCCTCTGTCTGAAACCAGAGCCCAGTCTGCTCTGATTGGTTAGCTAGCCAGCTCAGTTATGATTGGTCAACCGCTTAGAGATGTTACGCCTCTTAGCCTTTAACGTACAATATGTTGGAGGGCTAGCCAATTAAAACGCAAGTGATGAATAGTGATGTCACTATGCCACGGAAGTAAACAAACGATTAGTGTGTGGGAGAGACACTCCCTCTGGAGGGAACTCTGGGATTTTAATCTTTGCAGACCATTTAAAATGCACAGAAAACGTATATAACACAATAAAGGAAAGAGAAAAATCCATTTGTAATACAATTATTTTACATATTAATGACAATTCTGCACAAACAATCTGAAATGACATGATTTAAAAACATTGTGTAACTAGTTTCCAGGTAATAAACGTCAGTAATATTTCTAGTATATCCATGGTTTTACCTGATTTGGGTGGTGGGACCACGAAGGCGTTAAGCTCGATGTCACTGCGTGGTAACGTGACCTCCACACTCTCTCCTGCTGACACCACCAGCTCCCTCACTGCGGGGAGGGACAACAGGACAAAACAAACAGAGATGAAGCCAAAGGTACAGCATGGTGCGAGTGGCAGTGTTCATTCAACAGGAGAAGAATACATAAAAGCATCTTGGGTCTAGTTACACATGAAACACAAATGAAATGATTCCAAAAGATTGTAACCAACTGAAAGCTATTAAAGAATTGGCAAAGAGGCTGCCAGTGTTTCGGCACCAGGGAGCAGTTCGGTGCCTTGCTCAAGGACACCTCGGCAGTGGCCAGGAGGCGAACTGGCACCAGCTACTAGTCAATACTCTATAGTTTTGGTCGGATCGGGATTTGTACAGGTGACACTTAGATGACCAAGCAAAGTCCCTACAGACTGAGAATGAAGCCTATTAAATACCCTATGCTACATTGCTACTGTTAGAAAAGACAAATAAAAGAAAACTGAGTGAATTCAACACCAACAAAAATGTACACTAGTGATTTACTGTTGCAACACCATAAAGTTGGGGGACTGGTGAAATGGAAATTGAAAATATAAATCCGAGTTATTGTATTCTACGAAACATTAAGAGTGCTTCAGGAGTTTCGCTTTCTCCAATGTCTCCAAAAGAAATGCCGTTCAGTTGCATTTACAGCTAAATGTGATACAGTCTATCAGCGTATCCAAATGTGTCAGATTCACTTTCACTGTTCATCAGATCTCATTAAAGGTGGGGTATGTAATTTATTTCAGAAACACTTTTTGTTATATTCCATGGAATGCTCTTAACATCCCGATAGCAATGAATATATTAAATGCTTTGACAATAAATACATAAAAAATGTCATCTGTGGAAGCCGTAGCACTTTAAAAAGCACGACCAATCATTTTAGCCGGCCCGGCTAAAATAACTGGATGGCCTACCTGCCTGTCAGCCTTCCATCTGTGCACAAACTTATCTCGTGCCCTCATTGGTCATGTGCATGTTCGTGTGTGTTGGAGGAGGGGCTCTGTAAGGAAGTGGCAGATTTTTTCCGGCTGTGTATTTTCAAATTCTAGCGCACTCGAGCTGGTTTCTCCAAAATTACCTACCCCGGGTACCTAATAACAATGGTTATTTGGAGTTAGCTAACATGTGTGGTGGATATATGAAGAGAAGTGGCTGGATAAGTATAAAATATGACTTATTCATAAATGATTACCAGATTTGTTTTGTTTTGTTTCTCATATTTTGTTTTTGTACTATTACTCTGATTGGGCCATCAAAATGAAGTCTGATTGGTTTTTAATCATTTATTATTGGCAAATTGCATTTTATTTGTTTCTTTTATTTGTCATGTCTTGCATGATTATTATTTTTATTGTTTAAAATGCATAGCCATATTAAAAACCGCATGTACAGTTTGTAAATATCGCAATTAAAATATTGATTTAAAAAAAAGAGTGGTAAGCCCTGTGTGTATGAGAGTCTGAGCAGTTTTCGAATTGTTTGTGATGTGTTTTTGATGCTACAAAAAACAGGAACTACAGAAAAAGAAGAAAGTTTTGGAGCTGCAGTTTTTTTCCTCTCCCCAGCACAAAAGGATTATAAAGGATTGTATCTCCAGATTTATTTTGTACTTACCTCTTGTCTTTCATTTCAGGCCCTGTTTATTCCTCCCCATGGCTGCGTCTCACTTCTCCTATTTTTCATTTCCTCGCTCCTCGGTCTCGGTATCATTGGAAGTTGATTTGTCTGCGCCATCTTGAGTACCGTCCCAGTGGCCTTACGTTCGTTGACTTCGTTCACGTTAATACCCTCCCCCCTCCTAAACCCTCATAAGAATAGTTTCTATTGACATGATTTGAAGGCGACGTCGTCGTTGTTGTTTATTTAGACTACTGGTCGGTTACGGGGGTTTGACCTCGACACCGTCGCCTTTTTTCCTCGGCTTAGCCGTGCATTTTGCATTTCCCAGAGGATAAATCAAACACTTACTTACGAATAATCTCAAAAAGACCACACACGCCTGGACAGCCAATCCTATTGTCGCGTACACATTCAGGACGTAGACATACTATGTTTCACACATTTACTAAATGGCCCACGACATTAGATGGAGTAGGACCAATGCAAAAAGATGTAACTGGTGTTGTGGGCGGCTGGGTTTTCTTTCTGCAATAATAACCGAAGGGGAGTAAAAAGGGGGTGGTGGTGCGATGAACTTTTGTGTGTTTGGACTGTACTCATTTTCCGCTAGGAAAGAATCGACTCCGAACCGTGCCCTTGTAAGTCCCTTTGTTTCTGATTGACTGTGTCCTGTCCCGCTCTCTGTCTCCTGATAATTGTAACTCAGTTCACCCTTGTCCCACCTTTGTTAGTCCCCGCCCTCGTCTGTAACTACTACCGCCCCTTTTTGGTGTGAAGACAATTTACCTAAGGAACCAGGGAGTTAACGCAGCAAAGGGACGCTGATAGGGAGCGTGGTCCCTCCTTCCGTACCTCTCTGCGTTCCTTTGGGTGCTCTTCGTCCCTTTACTCAAAATTCTAACTACCCTGCAGGAAAGGAGGTCCTCGCGTGCCACTCTGCCTGCAGGCAAAAACACCTACTGCGTCGGGTCCAACTAGGCAGACTGTCCGAGACAGGGACTATAAAAAGTGTTTGTGGGGCGGAGACAAATCAGTGTAAATGACTGGTGTTTGTAAACCTAGTAGATAAAATGGGTTCAATTTATGTTAGTTTATTCTTGAGTAAGAGTTTTTTCTATATGCGTAAGAAATTTTACATATTTTTCTTTTTTCACCTAGTACTTTTACAAAGGTTATTTACTTAATATTTAAATAAACAACTGGTGAAACAACCGAGTCCTATATAGTGTATAAACTATTGATTTACTATGTAATTAAACTTCTGTTTTGTTAGATATTTGACTCCTCACTGAAGACACTCGCAAAAGTACTCAAAAGAAGTGACGGCGACCCTTTGTCGAGAGTACAGGTTCTTCGTTGTCAGTCGTCTAGTCACGTACGTGACGTAGCAGGTAGCCACTTGCTAGTGTCGATTCCCCCTCCCAGCCGGCTCACAGGACTCCTAAAGTGGCCTCCTACCAGACCATCAAGGAGCTAATAACGAGCGAGGAAATAGTGAGGAGCTAGGA